AACCACACTCGACCACAACCAACAGGAGCCACTCTACAATCCAGCTAGTGTCCTTCATCTCAGCCGTCCCAAGAGAGCGTTCGCTCACTAGTCCCTCATCCCCCACCAGCCTGCCCCTCTCTCGGTCTCGAGATTTACTTCCACTGCAGCACGCCCTCGATAAGAAACTTGAGACAATGACTTGGCAGCCATGTGCGATCTTCAGCAACGCGCGTGCAGTCACATATCCACTTGCCTCCCAACCCCCCATATTCACATCTCCAGCTCATGTGGGTTTCTAAATGCTGCTCACAACACCCCTCCTGACTTCCACCCTATGATCAATCTTTGTCCCTCAAACACAGTCCAACGGCCTCCAGTTCAGATGGCTTGGGAGATGGGTCACTCACCCAAGAGCCCTACCTCCAGGTCCTACTCTCTGAGACAACTCCAGCTCCAACCACAACCTACCCATGGAGATCCACCACTTCAGCTACAGGTGCCATCTTAGACCAGCTTTGTTAAAGCAGTGAAACTCAGCATATGGAGTTCCCACCAAACCCCCTCCCTGGGAACCTCAGAAAAGCCAAGGGCTGAAGGGAGCATGGAGATGGAGCTCCCTTAGATGGGAACATGACTGAGGCATGCTGGCAGGGCAGCAAAGGGAAGCTTGCCCCAGTCCTTGCTGTGCTGTCTGTGCTTTGCAATGCTATTTCCTTGGGTAAGCCATTCATATACAGAAATTGCACCAGTCTGAAGAGCTGAACCTCTCACAGTGTAGCCCCAGTCTTCGCTCAATGCTCCCTGGAGGTCTGGATTGAGCTGGGCACTACACTTCTTCCACCACGAGGGAAAATCCTGACTGATGGACAGTCTCCTGCCCTCTCTGGTCCTGTTGCTGGGGGCTGGAAAACAAGAAATCCAGCTAGTCTGCAAGTCACTCAGCTGGCACAAGCCAGCAACACCCTAAAGTTGCTCGGGTTGCAGCATCCAGGGAAGCCACTTGCATGACTAGTGCCCGAGTTAATTCGTAACCTAGCGTGCCTTGCTGACAGCTCTTCCTAGGGGTGGAGGGATACCGTTCGTTGGTGTCCTTTGCTGGATGGCAGCACGGTGGCCTGCAGCTTGTTGGTTTAATCTTTTACTCGGCAGAGCCCCACACCCAGCTTTGGCACTTAGGCAGCATCCAGCTCCACTGCACGGAGTAAGTCACAGTTCACAGGTGAGGGCTAAGATCTGCAAGAGCAGGGAGCAATCAACGGCACGGAGGGACAAAGCGTGAGTCACCCCAGGGACATGGCGCAAGAGCCTACTGTGCTCTGTGACCAAGGTGTTTCCCGAGGGAGCCAGCACTCAGCATATGACACCAAGTTAGGAAGCCTGAAATATCAAACCCCTGTTCAGCAAGAGGTCCTCAACTCTAGGGATCCCAACACCCAAAGGGAGGAAGGCCAACATCTCCCTCTGCCTCAAGGTGTAGCTTCTTCACACACTGGTCTATTTTGAGGGGCTGGGGAAGGTGCATTCCAGGTTCCTAGGAAGCATAATTACCTTGTTCTCATTCACGGCACAGCCCTGCCGAGACAGGACAACATATGTTCCTTGACAAGTGCACAGCGCTCCCTGTCAGTGCCCCATCAGGAACACTGAGGGACCATTCACATGCTGTGTTATCCTTGGCGTCATCTCATACACCCTGCTCGGCAGGATATGGCACACGCAGAGGAAAAACTATTCACCGTAGCGTGCGTGTAATGAGCTGAATCTTTTTTACAATGTCTATATATATATATATATAATTTCTGTATAAATCAATGCACAAGCTTCAGGAAAACCCTGTTGCCTGGAATGGCAGCTGGGGGGAGCTTAGGATGTTTGTGCTAAGAGAAACTAAGTTGGCAGTGGAAAATCCACACGCACAATCGCATTATTCAGCCTCCTATTAGTCCCCTCTGGCCCCTTGGACCCATCAGGGAGGGCAAGGCGAGACCACTTATTTGAAATAGCACATGTATGCAGCCCCCCTCGGCTTCATCATCTTCACAGCGTGCTGCCATTGGAATAACACTGGCACATTCCTCCAGATGCAGCTCTGACTTGCAGTAATTCATACCTTTTGGCACTCTCTGAAATAACATTACACATCACTGCTGGCTGCCTGGGCTGGGTAGGCCCTGCCTGCACACTGAGGCAGGGGAAAGGCACCCTCCATGCCCATGGCTTTCAGCAGGCCATCTTAGAGAACTTGGCCCAAGTCCTCTTGCTCTAAGGTAAGCGTTGCTGGTCTGAATATCCCTGTGAAGGATGCTGGGCTGACAGCCTTGGGGACAGAAGTCCTTCATTTACCCAGAGCCCCAGGAAAACAAAGGGGACAACCCAGCTTTCAACCCACTCTGCTTCACTTGACATCCGAGAGGAAAACAACCCCTTTAGTCAGAGGACAAGGCAGTTTGCCACAGCCCAGTCAGTCCCTGGTCTCTGTGAAGACTCAGGTGCCATTCAATACAAGGCCCAGTGGCAGCGCTTTAAGTCTGCACGCATTCCTTGAGATCCATCACACCAAGTTCATTAAAGCCACTGAAAAATAACTTGCAGTGCTTACCAATCTGAGCTGGATAGGAGCAGGCAACCTAGAGGCATAGTATATGGGGAATCTGAAATTAGTGCACACTGCAACCCAAGCACTTGCTCTGGGTTTAACAGTGGTCTCTATGTAACCATGGACAATTCTCTACCCCTCTCACTACCTCAGTTTAAAGAATCTGTTCCGTCTTGAATGGTCTATAGTCTATGTAAAAAAAAAAAAAAAAAAAAAAAAAAAAAAAAAAAAAAGAAGAGGAGAATAAAAAGATTGTGATGTATTATTACAATTACTTTATCCCAAAGCCCAGGTGTTTCACCTTGATCAGAGGAAGTGCCACAGAACTGTTTATACAGCTTGTATTTCTCCTTCATTATTTCCCTGCATTCTGTACAGTTACAGAGGGGGACAAAAATGACATTAATCTTGTACTGGAAATAGCACTCTCCACACCTCACCCATTTCACAAAACATGTCAGGCAACCTAAAGGAAAGCCAACACAACAAGACAAACATCTGCACCCAAGGAATGCTGTATTGGCATGTGTATGCTGGTATACTATACCAAAGCCCTTCTAGCATGGGCACAAGATACACTGGTGAACCTACGCTTTGTACTAGCTTGGTAACACCACCCTCAGGAGCAAAACAAACTATTCTGATTACAGTGCAGTTTTGCTCATATAACAGAGTCTGCACCCTGGGTTGCTCCTGGCACAGCTGCACTTCTTCACACCCCCGACCAACAGAGCTATGTTGCCAAAGACTTTTGTGCGGGCACCGCCTGGGTAGGAAAGCAGAGAGGCAATCAAAATAAAGTGAAGGAAGTGGGGGAGCAGAACACAAAGACACAGCGGGAGCCATGAAAAACTTTGAACGACTGGCTCCCAGAGCGTAACATTGCAATGGGGCTGAATAGCCACTTGGTTAGTGGGGGACTTTCCTCTTCAGGCTGTGGGCTGCTAGTGAGAGTTGCTCTCTGCTGGCCGCGTG